TGTATTTAAAAGTTAATAAGTAAACAGTCATAATCGCGGTAATCATTTTTCAAAAACCGGTTGACATTTTTCAAATTCAGATCTTGCTTTAACAAACTTCCAAACATCCAAAATTAGATTTATCTAGATAACTATGTATGTATTATGAATTATTAAACTTTTTAACAAAAAGAAATAATCTTAATCATTACGGCCTATAATATTATAAAATGACATGCTTGTTCACAAAAAATTTTATACACACATACATATGTATGTACATTGTAAATAATCCCAGGAAAAACTTACATTGAAAAGTAACTCTTCACTGCTTTTTCATTAGCATTTTAACTAATTTTTTTAAAACGGTGATGACATTGGAGGCACTTCCACGTTAGCTTACAAATATGGAGTTAAAGAAGTCTTGCAATTTCTCTTACAAAGAAGTTGTTGAGTAAGTTTTGTTTTTTAATAACACAATTTTAAAGTCGCAAATATATACGGTATGTATTTGTCATTGAAAAGTATGTTGTTGAGTATGTACAAATCATTACCAGATTTTTGCTGGAACACTGAATGGAAAATTCCATAAAAGGGAAATATAGTTGTTGAGTTTAAGTATTGAATTTCAGATCCGAATTTTCAATAATTTTATCAGACATGCTTTCTGGAAGAACGCTATTTAAAATCAGCAAATAATGGATATATGAGTAAAAATCCGAGGCTAACTCTGAAAATTTCATCAAAAAATTAAAATTTTTCTGCATGCTTTGAGAAAAAGAAAAAATTACAATAACAAGACTCATGGTAACCCAGCAAAAACTTACATTGAGAAGTAATGAGTTAAAAAGGCCGCTTTTCACTACTTATTCATTAGTATTTTACCTCATTATTTTAACACAGTGATGACATTAGAGAAGTGCTTACCACGTTCGCTTACAAATCACTACTTACAAATAGGAGGTTAAAAAGTTGTTTTGTTTTAAAAACAAACAAAAAACGCACACACAGAATACGAACCTGGGTTTCTTGTTCGTTAGTTCGCTACCTTAGTCACAGCATCACTGCTTAGTTATTTTATCATGGTTTAAAAACAGAAAAACTATTATCTTTCTGTGTGTGTAAAAACAGTTGCTAGGGCGCGATCCATAAAACGGCAAAACTTAAAATAAAGTACTTACATATGTGATTATATGTAAGTCATTATAAGAGTATTTAAAAGTAACACAGACAGTATGTACAAGTTATTAAAAAGTAAGTGGTTATATTAGTACAAGTTATTACCGAGTTTTTGCTGGGTATAAATCATTTCAAAATTGTGCTCTATGCAATAAGTCAAGATACAAACGAAATTATTTGTTAATTGAAAATGCTATAATACAAAATGAAGTTGTCCTGTTTATCTTTATTCGTTCCTCAAACTTTATAGTATTTTTATAAGTTTAAAACTCTATCGCTTGTATTTATAAAAAAATCTTTTTTTGCTTTTAATGCACTCAATAGTTAAAGCACACTTTAGCCTTAAAAACCAATTATAAAATTGTGATATTCATAAACAAATAATAAACGTATATTAACTATTGTGCTGATTTATGTTTAAGTTGGCAGCACTGTACAATATGGCTGTCATTTTATGTGTTAGTGTTGCGTACAATTAGGATAAAATATTCGTTGATTCGGTTTTCTTAATTTCATATTTTTGTTTATAATAGATTTTTGACAATAAAAACAAACTTTTAAGAAAAATAAATATATATATGGCTTTAATAAATGTCTATTTAGTTCAGATGTATAAATATAACATATAATTTCTAATTATTATTAAAAGTATCCGAATAACGGATATTTTGCGACAAAATATACATCACTATGACACATTTTCTTATTTTTACTTATTTTCCTTGTAATTTTTGATAAATTTTTGCAAATATTGATAAATTTCTTTGATATTTGACTAATTTTAATGCCGGCGAATATATTTTGCATTAGTATAACACTAATCAATATAATTTACATAGTTAATTACTTTATGGCATTATATTTAACCAACAAACTTTGAAAAAGCCAAATCAAATGATTTTGTCAATCATTTGGTTGACAGACGGGCACTTCCAAATTGCCTAAAAATAGTGCTGGACAATTGGAATATTGTCAAATATTCATGTATTAATCCAATAATGCCTAGATTTGAGTTTTTTCCTCAAAATATAATCGTTTAAAAATTTTCTGGGATTTTATTTACAAATTTGTAAACGTTAAAATTAGAATTTTTAGATTTTATTTTAAAATAAACCATAATTAGTTTTCGCAATCAACCTAAAATTACCGGAAAAATCTTTATCTGAGAAAAAAATTGTTAAAAATCAACTTATTGTTGGCTTAAAGAAGGGTCGAGCCTACAATAAAATTCTTCTAATTGTCAATGGTTTATTGAAGGTGTTTTAAGCTATTTCACGTTTATAAATACGATTTTCCTGAATTTTGCCTAAAATTGTTTAATAAACCTAAAATAAGTTTTTATAAATACAGCCGTATATATTTATGTATATACTTAGTTTACATTATACCATGTTGTCAAAGAATGCAGCACAGATGTGTGTATGTTTATATACACACTAGGGTATCTAATTTCCTGGACTTTTTTATATTCCAAGAAATATATCAAATAATTCATTTCAAAAATGATTTAAAATGTTTTAAGCAGTTCAAATAAAATAAATAATTTAATCAAAATCTATCTGAATCCGATCCATCTTAATACGCTACACCACTATAGTAGGGAGGATATTATGCGTTGAAATGTATTGAAATTTTTAGCACATTAAACTATTGACCATATACATATATAAGTACATATGTATGTAAATTATGGCAGTCGACTCAGAGATATAAACCTAGTTCATTTAATGGCTTATGCTTACATAACCACTTACTTTTCAATGACTACTACTTACCGTTTACATTACTTTTAAGTACTCTTATAATGACTAACGTATAATTAGATACGTAAGTATGTATTTTATTTTGAGTTTTGCCGTTTTATTTGCACATTTTATTTGATTGCACGCTAGCAATTGTTTTTTACACACACAAAAAGAAAATATTGTTACGTTTTACCTTTTAAAACGTTGGTTTAGTTTTACTCAAAATTAAGTTTTTTGATTTATGCTGGTCTTGTAGTAAATGACGTATATGTATGTATGTAAGAGTGAATGCCTGAATTGTAGAATATAAACGGCACTATTTCATTAGTATTGTTTGTGAATGCAAAACCAATAGATCGGTTAAGATCAGCCAAAGCTTTTGTTATTAAAATTAAATTATAATTTAATTACATGGGGGATTTCATCACAATGCCACACATTTAACAAAACAAACAAATACTGAGCTTCAATTTCACTGAAATGATAATGATTGTTCTAAAGGTCAGTGTATTTGATAATCCCTAGACGACAATATCACATACGTACATATGTACATACATTTGTATATTAATATGAATATGAGATACCCAATATGTATGTATATGTATTAATGTACATTACGCCAGTTTTCGGCAAAAGAGCTATAACTCAAAATTCGGGTAATAATCATAGCTTATCATAAAATCCCTTAGTTTTTTTAAGTTTGGGTAATTCTTATACTAGATACCCAGCAAAAATTTACATTGAAAAGTTATGGGTTAAAAAGCTAAAAAAGCCGCTTTTCACTACTTCTTCATTAGCATTGCAGCTGATTATTTTAACACGTTGATGGCATTGGAGGCAAGTACTTACTACGCTCGCTTAAAATCACTACTTAAATAAGTACTTACAAATAAGGAGTTAAAAAGTGTTTATGTTTTTAAAACAACAAATTGCTCACACAGAATACTGGGCTTTTTGTTGTTCGTTAGTTCGCAATCTTACTCATAACACCACTGCTTAGTTATTTTATTGTGCGACCAATAATGGTTTTCACACAGAAATTTTTTTTCTTTCTGTATGTGTAAACAGTAATGATTGTATAGTCCGGCATGGCATATGGTACCCTACACCGGTGAGTATGTTAAAAATGTGGATTATTTTTTAATAACAAAGCATTTAATTTACTTTAATTCCGGAATATTTTAACGTTTTGTTAAAATATTACTTCTACATGGGGGTAAGGATAACTGCTGACCTATCTTTAAACATTATGGTAGAGGGATTTACGTCTACATTAAAGTTATTTATGCAGAATTTCATCCCGCTATTATTGTTCATAAGTGACTTTTGACCTTAAAGTCATTTTTGGAGTGGTAATTTGTACAGGGACTACGGTCAAATGTGGCCCGATCATTAAAAAAATGGCAGTGTCATTACTTTTATAAAATTAAGTTTTGTAATATTTTTTGAGATACTAGAACATTTAACATAATTATGAGCTCAACAGCCCTATTCGGGGGAACGGTTGTATGAAGGCTAGGCGAAATAATGGACCCATTTTATCATTATTGGGTCAAAAGAAGAGCAAAATTTCAACAAATTATATTAAAAATTGCGACCTGCAGCGTGCGCATAAGCTTTACATGGACACACAGACAGACGGACATAGCTAATTCGACTCTGAAAGTGATTCTGAGCCGATTGGTATAGTTTAAGGTTGGCGTTAGAGCAATATTTTTGGATGTTACAAATATCAGCAAAAACGAATAATACCTTCCCCACTATAGTGTTGTAGAGTATAAAAACAGTTGCTAGCGCAACTTATTTCAATACTGCCAAAATCGGTTTGGTTCTGATAATCGATAATAATAATAACCTGCTAAGAAAGGAAATTACATTATCTCCTCTTTTTACAGATTTTTTAAAAGTATGAATTTTAGTTAATCTTCAATAGATGTCATCTGTAAATATTTCATAGAGTCAATATATCTATAATGGGTTAACTATTCGCATATTTAATTAATATATGTATAATACGAATACATACGTAAGTGTAATTAATATAATTGATAACAGATTCATAGGAATCAATAAAAATGACATATTCTTCAATAATCAGTCAATTTTAATTATTATTCGCAAACAGTTCTTATTAAATTAATAGATGATGTTGAACGGAAATTTGTATTCTTTTTATTTATACATATTGCTAGTAGTTCTGTTACCAATATTTGTAGTCCTTAAAGACGACAATGGAAAGAATACATTTATATCTAATTCAATACCCATACATTCTCGATTGGGTTTACAGAGTGTTAAAGGCGATCAAATGAACTTGAAAGTTGTAAACGATTCCATGGTAGAGGATGATAATCGAAAGTATACACTGGTAGAAACATTACGAAGAACCTTCAATGAATTCGAGGAATTATTTGAAAATATTGTAGATATTGTTGCTAAAAATGTGCCGAAAATAGCCCGAGATGCCGAAATCTTTCTAGCTAAATTATCGAACCGAACTATGGACGCATTGAATATTTTCAGCAATAAAATTCTCAACGAGGGCGATGATCTTCTTAACGAAATGTTTTATAATATTGAACGTCAATTGGATTCTGTAAGGAATGAATTTCAGAATTTAGCCATCAGTGTCGATGAACACTTCAATTGGGCAGTTACACAACTCAATCAGACCCTAATAAACAATACTGAAGAATATGATTGGTGGACTGCACATATAAAGCAAAAATTACGCACTGTAAATGACACAAAGCTGTACCAAGAGGGCTGTAGTGCCATTGATGAATTCTTAACCCAAAGTACCAAAGAATTGCACAATTGTTGTAAAATCACCATGAAGCCAATGCGATCATTATGTAAATCTGCCAGCTCCTTAATCACCGAAGCTTTGCACACTATAGTGGATGCGATTGACAGAATGCAAGCTTGTCTGGAGGAGAAGAGATCTTATTTGGATTATATGTTGCCTTGCATACATTTGGCCTACGATGAAATAAGTAACTTAGTTTCCCGAGCGGCGCAAATAACGCATCAAGTAAATAACATGCTTCCAATGAAAATTATTTATACTCGAAGCTGTTTTGCTATTGTTATGGTTGATATGAATGTTCGACGAAACAACATAGAGTCTGGCCTATTTTCCAATTAAACTTAATATTTAATATATTTCGGGCTTATATAAAACCGTTGTAGTCAGTCGGTTGCATCCCAAAGTTAATTTCCGATTGTTTACTTTGAAAGTGTTTTATATTTTTATAATTATGTAAAGTATCAGTAAAAACAAGAAAAATGCAAGATTAAAAATTTTATAATTCCAGACATCGGTCAAACCGGATTATTTTAAGTCATGTCTCATCGTCGACACAACAACGACTGTACATTGGATTTTTTTTTTTGGAACAATCGGTAATTGTTTGTTTTTGACTCTATGCTCACTAAAGGCTAACAACTGTATTCACAAAAATGTTTTATTGTAGATTTAAGTCGATTTAGATTAAGATAGATTAAAGTCGCCTTAGTCTTAAAATCCATTAATAAACATATAAAAAACACACTTTAACTAATGTAATAATTTTTATTAACCTGAAAGTGCTGCACATTTTGTCTCTTATATTATTCGTTTGCGCTGATGTTTGTAATCTTTCAAAGTCGATTAAGACATGCCCGTCCGGGTGGCTAACTTTCCATGCAAACCTTGTGCGCGAGGTACAGACCGCAATTTTCAAGATAGCTATAAAATTTGGACCATATGTATTTTTTGGCACAAGGACGAAGCCTATTGAAAATTGTTGAAATTGTTCCATTATTTCCCTTCCGATTTGGGCTTTTTAGCTCATAATTAAGTCAAATATACTACTATCACTCAGAAATCGTCACAACTAAGTTTTATATAAGCATAAATGACAGTGCCGATTTTTGTAATAATCGGCCGTTATTTGACCCTAGCTTCCATAAAAACACCCTTTTAAAAAGTTTCTTAAACGTCGAAAATTGACTTAAAACCATTAGTATCACAATGAAATTAAACATAACGAACCATTACACCGTGCAACAGTTATTTTCACACATGAAAAAATCTATGTGTACAGGAAACTGTGGACCATTAGTATTAACTCTGTTTACTCATTTTTCATAATCCGACTCTAATAGGACTTTAAAGTTTAAAGAACATGCGATTTCAAAAGATGGAATTTCAAATTGTAAAAAAATTGGTATTAATATCAAATGAAGCTGAGAACCTCTGCTTCAATATAAAATTATTTATTTTATCTTTATTATTAATTCATCAGGATTAAAAAGAAATGGAAGCTTAAAGAAAATTTGTTACAAAAAATAGTTAATTTTTTTTCCAAAATGGGACCTTTTTAAATTTAACTTTTTTTTTTCAATTTTTTGTCTAAGTGAGTCAAATAAATAATATAGATAGAATGTACATATTCCCAGCTTTCATTTGATACCAATATTAGCATCACACAACACATATAAATATTTAAAATATTCTTTTGAAATTGTAAGTTCTTTAAGCATACATATACATATGATCAATTCACAATCGGTGTTGTACGGTTGTATCGTAGTATGTCGTCATTTTTATACCCTACACCACTTTAGTGGGGAAGGTATATTGGGTTTGTGCTGATTGAAAATATTCGCCCTATACCCACCTTAAAGTATACCAATCGGCTTAGAATCGTTTTCTGAGTCGATTAAGCTATGTCCGTCCGTCCGTCTGGCTGGCTGGCTGGCTGCCCATGTAAACTTTGTGCGCAAGGTACAGGTCGCAATTTTCAAGATAAATTTGTTTGGCCCAAGGACGAAGCCTATTGAAAATGGTTAAAATCGGTCCATTATTTCACCTAGCCCCCATAGAACAGAACCCCCCGAAAAGGGCTTCTGAGCTCATAATTATGTTAAATATACAGATATATCGATAAAATACGGCACAACTAAGTTTTATAGAAGTCTTGATGACCCCGCCAAATTTCATAAAGATCGGGTCCCATTTGACCCTAGCTCCCATACAAAGTCCTCTTCAGAAAATTACTTGAATGTCCCAAATTAACTTATAAACACAAATATCGCGATGAAATTCAGCATAATAAAATATTATGTAAATATAAATATATTCACAAAATTTTATCGGGCTTGGTCCATATTTGCCCCTAGCCCCAATATAAAGCCTCTTTCAGAAAATTAGTTTTTCATTCATAATTGCTTAAATGTATCGGAACAAGGGAATATTGAAGATAAATGCTTTATTATGAAAAATAAATCACATTTAATATTCATAACTGGTGTAGGGTATCATATGGTCGGCCACGCCCGACTATACTTTCTTACTTGTTTGTCTTGTCCCGGTTATTACAGTGGTCCCTTCGGGATGGCTGTGGTTTGAACACAAAATTAAATCTATATTTCTGGATAAGTTCGGTGCTGTTGCCGAAAAGATAACAGATACATAAGTGAATATGCTTTACGTGAACACCTGTCGTGTTGGCCTTATACGACCACTGGGCAAGCTTGTTAGACGACTCACCACCACCACTTTGTGCTCCATAACCTTTGCTCATGTACTCGAGCTACCTAATCTCTGACCATTGCTTAACTACCGAGATGCAAAAGCATCACTTTAGTTTTCAACCACGACTGTGTGATTCGGCAATAGCACCTACATGCGTAATCAGTGGATACACTGTGGTCTGGTCAGAGTAAACCCTAAATCAGAGATGGGGGTAGTGCACTAAATTATTAGTTAAATCAATATTTAACTAGCACTAAATATTATTTCAAAAAATATATTTTTCACTAATTTTCTCGAGCTTAGTGGTAGTGAAGCTTATATTTTTAGCACTAACATTTTTTAGTGATAATTTTATTTTTTTAACTATAACTCAATTGAGTGATACTGTAGAAAAAAGCACTACACTCAAATAGTTAAAAATTTGAACAGTTACTAACAAAAGGCTTCAATAATTTTCTTTGCACTATTTTTTTTTATATAATTGAAAGAATTTGTAAGACAATAAATGATTCAATTTTTTAAAAGATACATCTATTAAAATGGAAAATACAGATTTTGTTAGCGATGGCACTATGATAGACCCTACATATGCAGTTACCCCAACAACATCTCATGGTTTAAAAAGAAATGGTTGAAACACCTAAATTTCAAAACTTTTGCCTTCTGCTCAAGTATAACGATTTTTTTCTTAGCGGAATGATAAACCGTCCTCAGAGAATTAAATTAATTGCAGTGCAGGAATATTTTTTGAACTATTAATTTAGTGTAGAAAATATTATTTCACTAGGCTGTAAAAACAAATATTTTAACTATTTTTAGTTAAAAATTTTAAATACCACTATCACTATTATTGAATGAGGCTTATATTTTTCAATTCATCACTAAACATAAATAAAAGTAGTGAATAATTTTGAACTACCACTAATAATTAGTGATAGTTAAAAATTAGTGCACTAAAATAAAATTTTTCTAGCTCATAGGGCTATATAAATTTTTGACAAATGAAAAGAAAAATTTGAAAATACAAAAAATAAAATATTTTGTAATATTAGTTTATAAATACATTTGTTATTGTAGAAATTTATTATAATAATAAAAAAATCAATAAAAGTGTTTCATTTATTAAAATAAATGCAGAGTTTCTTGCGAAATTAGTGAAAATTGTAAAAATTTAATGTAATCAAAAAAGATATCGTTTGGCACAGCAAAATGTAAAACTGTTCCCACCATTGGAAAATTACAATCCACCATAGAACTTTGCTATCATTTGGCACACCCTCTAAATAAAAAATTATTGTGGTGAAAATGTCAGAATAATAAATTGAAATGTCGTTACCCAGCAAACACAGAGTGTTCATGTAAAGTCTAGAAAGGTTGTAAATCAAAATATTTTTAAATTTTAAAACTCTAAATCGAATGTAAATGTTAAATCAGTTTCTCTTTTAAAGAACAGTTAATGTTTAATATAAAAAAAAAAATAATAACATTTTTGAAACGTTTAATTATGTGTTTGTTGGGTTATTTCAAATATCGGGAATATACTAATACTACCATAAGTTTTTTTACTACTACATACAATCGACTTAGGTTTTTGACAACAGACTTAGGTCCTTGACAGCAGAGTTTCCGCTCTATATACTCTATGGCTACGACATCGATTTTGAATTGGACAATATAGTTCAGCTGTAGCTTTTACATTTACGTACATTGTACACACATATATATGTACATATAAGGGATATAACGAATGCTCGCTTTCGCATATGCGAATTATTCGCCTACTTTTTTACATTCGCATTCACTTTTGCATTCGCTAAATTTTAACGAATACTATTTCTAAGAAAACAAAAGGAAATTAGAATAAATAAATGAAAATTAAAATTCCTTGAGCTGTATTTGTACTATAGTTATGTATTATGAAGTAATAATGTTGTTCCAGTTTTAAATTAATTTGAATTGTATTATTTGCATTCGCATTCGCAAGAAATAAAATTTATTATTCGCTTTCGCTAAACTGGCATTCTCAACAACTTTAGTACATATACATATTTTTTTGTAATATTTTAAAGAAAAAGACTTAATTCTTTTCTGTAATACATTTTAAATTGTATATATACATATGTACATTTCCAGAATATTATAGTCCAGATAATACAAAATATTTCCCTGAAGTTTTATTCAAATCAATTTATTCAATCTTAACCCATAAACTGTGGCCCATGAATGACCCTAACCCCAATATAAGATCCCCTTCAGAAAATTACTTTAACCCTCATTACTGCCCTAAAAATTCGAGTATAGCGATGAAATTCGTTATAAGTAAGTTTCTTACGAGCCAAAACCTCTCTACATATTTTTTTAGGATCGGCACATAAATGACCCTACCCCCCATATAAGGTCCCCTTCTGAAAAAGTACGAAAACCTTTCGTAATACTTTTTTCTTAAATTTTAGCGATATTAAACATAATGATATTAATTATATTATCGCTAAATAAAACTACAAAAATTTTTATAGAAATTAAGAAAAATATAATATAATTCACGAACTATTTTCATAAAAAAATTAAAAATTCGTGTGGAGAATAATTTTTAACTAAAATTAGAAAAATTATTTTAAAATGAAAAAAATGTTTGCATAAATTAATATTTCGTAAATTTTACCATATTTATTCAAAATTCCCTTTTTTCAATTTATTTAAATAAATTTTTCCAATATTATTTTGCATTATACTAAAATATTTCGTACAATTTCGTATATATTACGAAATAATTTCGTGGTGCGAAACAACGAAAGATTCGTACAAGGTACGACATTGGACTGTTTTAATTTAAATATATCTTGGTTAAAGGACTAATACACTAATAAAAATGCATCACTCTGTAAGATCACCTTAAAACTTCAGTGCCTTTGTGACACCTATTAACGTTATCTAATCAGCCTAATTTCTTGCATAACAAAGTTTTACAACACAAAGAACAATTCTAGAGGGGAAACGGATAAAATTCTGTATTTTTTAAACAAATTGCAAAACAATTCATATTTAATCTAGATTTATGTGATCTTAAGAACTAGTTATAAGATTCAGTTGTGTATGTATCAATATAATTTATAATCATCAAGATGTACAGTACAATTAAGGAGAATAAAAATAATAACAAGCTAATTAAATTGGGAAAATACAACAGATGATAATTTTGTTTGTTTATATTTATTTTTTTCCAATTTATATACTGTTGAATTTGAATTTATTATTTCATTATTTACACACAATACATTCATACATAAATATTAGGATGGATAGAGTCAAAATTATACATAATATCATAATCATAGGTCAGAAGCAGATCTTCATCTTTAATATGACCATTTACTTACGAACTTTTGAGCGTATGTATTTTCTTTAAACTTGATTTGAATTTGGAAAATAAAAACATGTTTTTAAACTAGTTGTCATTTGGATATCTGGAAATCCATATGGTATGCATTTGTCGTAGATGTTATTAGTTTCATCTTGCTGGCGTCGACGTCGACCAGAACGATTATTTGAAACGCGTCCGCCCTTTATTTTTATATCGAAATATTGTTGCAATTCGTCAAGTTTAGCGAAAAGTTTTTCAAAATCAATTTCTGGTTTGCGTAAAAATTGGCATCTCAGTTCGTAGTTGCCAAAAATGAAACAATTGTACAAACGTTGTATACGAAACTCCAGTTGACGCATAATGTATTTGGTGGATGTTTCAGTAGTGGCATAAACATCGTATGCAACATGGAGATTATTACTGGCAGCACACTTGAAAATGTGCGCCGACCACTGTTGCAGAAAATCCATGTAAGTATTACAGCACCATTCGTCAGATTTGAAATTCCAAGTGCGTAATGTATCCCTCTGAATATCGGCGTAGCGTAAAAAGGTTCTTTGAATCGATCGTAAAGTATCCACAATGTACTCAAGAGCCTCATCGATAATTTCTGAAAACATAACGTGAAAAAACTCCATTTCAGCAAAATAATCTGTTAATCGCATTTTCACAGCAGTGGGCAGAAAACGTTGAGCCGATGGCAATTGTCGTAATTTAAGCAGCAACGAGTGACTCTCATTCTTGGATGTTTCGAAAAAATTTTCAGCTTTTTGTGCAAATCGGCCCGCAGTATCTGATGAATGTTGAAAGTAATCAGCCAAATCATTTAATTTTCCTAGTTGATATCGATTCATTTCAATGTCTATTGGTTTGGCCACCACCGTATTGAGAATTGATGACGTAGAAAGATTTTTCTGCAAATTCTCTAGAAAATTGTGAAGTAATGTCTGCAAATCATTTTTTGCACAATCACTCAATTCTACAGCTGCATAAAAGTCCAATGAAATGTGTTCACCATTTATAACTTGGGCTGGAGCCCCTAAAAGTATGGTTGGTCTTATAGGATTTGAAGAATTTATGTCTCCATTGATTTGTGAAATAAAAGCGACAAACACAACTATATGAAAATGATAATATTTTCGAAAAACCATAATGATGCAATTTCTTCCAAGCCAGCAAATAAAATAATTTTTTTAATATTTTCCACTGTCTACTATTTGGCGACAAAAATTAAACTAAAGAACATTTTGTTTAGTTCACACTGGCGATCATTGAAATGATCGTCATCAACATGTTGCTCAAATCGTTTCTCTTCGAGTTCTAAAATTAGAATTGTTTTTCTTTTAGTTTGTTTATTGTACACTTTGTGGTCTCTTTATCTCCAGATGGAAAATTCTTTTGTTTGGTTCTTCTCAAAGTAAACAACAATCGAATACTAACACATTTAAAAATTATTTGTTATAAATAAAATATACCCCCCGTTTTTGTAAAACGTTAAACAATTATCGTTAGTAAATTTATAAGTTAAATTACGATAGTCTTGAAGTAAATGATCATTAAGGTAGTCAAGTTGTTGTATTTTTAAGGTTTTTATGATTTTTTCATATTTATTGCAAAAAAACATTTGGAAACACGTAGGCATCCAACAGGTCCGTTGTGCGTTCCTTTACCAGTGTCTTTGGTGGGAATCGAAACCACGACCTCCGGTATGACATACTACAACGCTAACTACTATCCTAACGGGGGCACACAACGCATTCCAATAAATTTTATAATTTGTTAGCTTATAAATCAATTTAGGTGAAATTTTTATGAATTTTATAAACGATTTTAAAAGATTTTAAATGATTGTAAAAAAACTCTAGAATAAACAAAAGAATTCATAGAATTTAGTTGGAATTTTGAGAATATCCCTAAATACAAACTTACATACAGTAGTGCCAAAAATATTGCTCTAGGTTGTGTTGCGATTTAGAGAGAAAACTCTGAGACCATTTGATACTCTTTTAATTATTTCTTCTCTTTAATTTGGGCGGTCTTTTTATTCCTACAGTCTCATAGAGAATTAAAATATTTGATTACCCTGAAACGTTTTTCGAGACGATTAAATTACGCCCATCTGGCTTAGAGTCCATATAAAGGTTTAGTTTATTAAAAAAATATTTAGAAATCTTATTTTAGACTTAACCTATTGACTCTTATTCTATCTAATATTTCACCTAACCCCCATACAACCGAACCCTCGGAATAGGACATAAATATGTAAAATCTATTAATCTTTAGATTTTCGTTCTGAGGTCGATATGCCGAGAAACAAAATCCGAATTGATTAACCCTCTGCACAATTCTGGTATAGGGAATAAATATGTATAAGTACCAGATTAAAAGTGTGATCTTAATTCTATCAGCTTCTTCTTTGATCTGATTTTAAAGAAATTATAATTCTAAATAAAACAGTTATTTTCTGTTTCTGTATTTTTAGTACACAACAATCATGATAAAAATATTGTTATTGGATTGCCTTTAAAATACAATGGATGATCATTTGCATGGCCAACATGAAATAACAGGTGAATTGCAACACCAGGATGGCTCGGCTTCAATTTATGAATCAGTTGGCGGCAACAGCAATAGGACATCAAAAACAATTATGTCGAATTTAGGCGTCATCGACAAAAAATGCTCACATCAACGCCAAACTTGTCAGGATGAACAAAATTTACATTTAGGTGACAAAGTGCCCTTAAGTGGTTCAAATATTGAAAGTTTACGCCGAAGATCACCAGAATCGGTTCCCAAAAGCACAAGATCAATGCACGCACATATGGATGATGTTGATAACACATCATCTAACATTGAACAACATGACGACAATGACAAAAATGATTCAGTGGAACAGTTACGAAATGGTTGTGATAAAACTTCTTTTGACCAAAATCAAGACATTTATGTACTTCCTGGGCAATTAGAAGACATAAAATTGAATCAGGCCTTTTCCGATGAAGTTTTAAAAGAAAATGTGCCTGAAAAATCTAGAACCAACAAAACAGATTATATTAATTCGTCACCGTCTACGTACAAAACTAATTCCACTTTTACATCTTGTGATTCTTCCGCTGTGATTCCTTTAGCTGGCCTAAACACTACCAAAGCAAGAGACTCGGACGAATATAAACCGGAAAAAGACAAAAAAGAGCCATGCATTAAGCAAAGGCTGGATGAAGACGCTGAAATTCGAGGTAAAAATATAGCACATTGTTTTACTAATAAGAACACGGATGCCGTTCAAGTGTCTAACTCTAGTATTAGTACTCCGGCAATCAATAATCAAATGACATTAAAACATGCATGTCAATCCCCATATATAACCGTTCTACCATTGCATGCTTGCAATACATTTAACCATTTTCATCACAACCACCTCCACATCCACCACCATCACAACCACAGCCATAATAATTACCAATCTGAAAGTGAAAATTTTGCTAACGAATTAACCAATGCTTTGTCCTCTCGATTGCTTTTTCAAATAACAAATACAAATAACTCCTCCTATTGCACTAATTCAGCTTCAAAGAGCCAAAGTAAAAGACAGTCCTCATTTTTAAAATCCCAATCGCTTGAAATTGTACAAGATTCACCATCCATTCTTTACCCTGAAACAGACGATGATGATGAGCATATATTTTTTCAACTGCCAGAAATTGATGAGCACAACCTTCTATATAAACAAAATCAGAGGGAAAGTCATCATTCCAAAGACCATAGGCAGAAGAGTTCACAATTGTCAAATCATGAAGATGAACTTGGTACTCGCTCGAGGAAAGCAAATACTGATGTTATTGATCCAACGTATCACAATGATGATGATGAAAACATTGACGATGAAGGTGTTGTGATTACTAGATCATCGTCATTATCATCACAAAAGACTGGAATAGCTTTAAAATCTCAATCCCTAGAATCTCGACCCATATATCCGAATGTCCCATATAGTCCGTATGCTAGCCCGTACAGTAGTCCTAGGTCAAACAGACGAAGACCACCACTGCGAGAGTCAAGGCGTATTTCAATTGAGCAAAGCGGCAGTTTTCTTCAATTGAATCAATACAAATTAATGGATCAAATAGGACAGGTAAATAACCGATCTTAGAATAAGTTTTATATAATATTTTCATATTCATACCAAGGACCAGAAAACTTCTTATTTAAATTTTTTTATCATATAAATACATATCTTTATTGTTGAAAATAAACTTTCATTTGTTGATAAAAATCATCAAAATAATGTTTATTTTCAAATACATATAATTATCCTGATATATGATTTTTATTCAATCATTTTCTTTTTCAATCGTTTGTTTTACTTGAAAATTTTTCAATAGTTTTATATGAACAAGAATATGTATTTGTTTTTACTTAGAAACCCTGTAGCAAAGAATATAAAGAAATTGGGGCTTATCAGTTGGTACCTAAAGGAATTGTAATTCAGTACCTAACTCTAAGAGCGGGTTTTTGAGATGGTAATCAAATGCCAATTAATAATCAGATTAGTTAATCTAAAAATAAATTTAATCTTATGTTAATCCCCTTTGATGTTTTTGAGTACAAGATTAAACTTCGCAGTGTTGCCATACAAAACAACAGAAAATGTCACTGTTTGTTATCAAAACAATGCATATTTTATAAAAAAGAAGAAGACAATTGTAAATTTAATATGAAAACTTAAATTAAAAACAAAAAATGTATTTTGAAGTGTCCATAATTTATACTAATCAATAAAAAGAACATTTTAATGTTTATATTTATAAAGATTTTATTAATTTTTTTGCATCAGCTGTTTACACTTTTGCATTTCGTGGTTAAGATTAAACCACCTCCATTGGGCGCTTAAACTTGCAAACAAAATTAACTAATTGAGTACTCAAAAACATCTTTAATTTAATCGCTAATCTTTCAACTAAAGATTGGCCCTAAGAATGTATTGGTAGAATTTTTTGTATAAGTATTGGAACTCCAACCACTCCAAACCTACATAGTTGCATAAAAACGCACTTAAACATTTTAGGAAAAATATAAAACATTTTTCAATTTTTTAATTCACATTTGATTTGTATACATTTTTCAAGTTTTTAATCGCTTTTTTGTTTAAATTTATTTTATTTTAAATTTATTTCTTATTTTCAATACTCAAATTTACAACTTCGTTTTTTTAGTTTAAGTATTTACATTCCTCAAAATTCCTCGTTTACAAAAATAGAACTATTTCGGGTTAATTAACGCTGTAAAAATGTGCAAAAAAATTGTTCAAAATCAAGTTGACTATTTACTTACTCAAAACCGATGTGTAACTAACAAATATATTAATAAAAAGAAATTTCTTTAACATTGAAATAACTTCCAATATTTCCATTAAAAATTGTGTATATTGAAAAAAATTAAAATTTAAATACAATTTTCAATATTCTTTTCAAAACATTTCATATTATGGAAAACAAGAATTTAACTATTAAGAGACACCAATTTGGTGAAAATTTTATCCCACATGGTAAGTAATTGTAAAATATAAAATATATAAATCAGTTAAAAAATATTTTTTATTTCACAGAAAATACAAAAACACCCCAATGTTGTCAAATCTGGAAAAAGCAGTATGAAGAAAAATTTGACCAATTAGCACCGTATTTTTCCTCCATACAAACGGGGCGACCCTAATGTACATACTTATGGTGGCCCCGTTTGTATGGAGGAAAAATACGGTGGCAATGTTCCCAACTAAAATTAAAGTTTAATTGATTCTAAGATATCATTTCTCAAAATGTTTGTCCTGGCTTCAATATTTTGTAAGCTGGGTCAAAGGATAAAAAGGTCCTTTTTTGAAGTTTTTACGATTTTTTCCAAAGGAAAGATATGAAATATTGGTATCATTAGAAAGGTGCTTGAGAAACGCTTTAAATTCCATATCAGAAATTTTTCTGTAACAATAAAAATAATATACATTTTCTAATTTTTCGCGAAATTTTCGGATTTTTTACATTTAAACATAGATGAAGTTAATATAATTCGTTAAAAATTAATACATAATAATACTCAATAAAATCAACGAAACGGGACAAAAATTTTGAGAAATGGTATCTTAGAATGAACTAAATTTTAGTTGTATTTATGTTAACATTGAAATTTTGTATTTAGAATATTAATCAACTAGAAAGTTCCGTGGAGGAGTTGACAGGTACTAACATATGAAATATCGCTCTAAAGGTATTTGATAAATCTAATGTTTCATTGAAAATATAGCCACTACAGTTTAACAAAACACTGTGATAATGGAAGCATTTGCCATACATAAAGTGTGGGAAAGAGAAAAGGTCTTCTCAATTCAGACTGCCGGTGACTTAACAGATATTAATAATAAAATAAATGAAACTAATCGTGCAGCTTATGTAAGTATTTTGTAATTATATCGCAATGGTTTTTATATAATTCAAATAAAATATTTTAGGCTCGTTTTATGTATGTCATCTATACTTAAAGGACAACTTCATAAATTGCTTATGGATTTTTTAAGTTAATTTAATTATTGCATCAAATATCGATGGAGAAAAGTTTCGATTAAACATTTTAAAAAAATGTACATTTTATTTATTTTTTATTTGCATTTATCAATTATTTTTTCTGTTTCATTTGATAGATTCATAAATAAACAAAAAGAAAGAATCTTCAGGAAATAAGAATTAGGAAATTCTAATGGATAATTAGCGGGATTAGAATTAAAAATTTGTATATGTATGTATATTAAACACTTTTGTATATTATATTTAGAATGTATAAGACTTTTATATTGTTACTAGCTATACACAGTGTGCTTTGCTACCCTAAAAGCAATGTAAATAAAAAACACATTACGATTTTGAAGATTCTAACTATAATAGTTTTCCAGATATATATTTTTTACATATTGGGGATGAAACGCAAATCATTGTTCGCCAATTTTTCCAAACGTTAATTTAGATTTTAATGTAAACTATGAAAAATTTGAATAGTATAATATTTTCCCAGATGGGAAATGCCTAGGTCCTCTAGGTTCGACCATTTTTCACTAAATGTTCACATGAATGACAAAGTTTTTCATGTAAAATGTTTGTATTTAATTCATATGGGAGGTTCCAATTTGCTAGTCCGCCAATTTGCTAAAATGTTCACATTGATGTCAAAGAATTTTTGCTCTAATAGTTTCCCACACATTTAATTCTATTTAATTCATATGGGAGGTTCAAACCCCCTCTAATAAAGGTCCGCCCATTTTCCTCAACATGTTCAAATAAATGTTAAATTTCTTCGTGGAAAATTTAAAGATTTTAGGTCTAGTTTCCCAGACAAACGACAACGCCAAATTAAGGATTTTAGCTCTAATAGTTTCTCAGATATACGAATTTATATATTTAATTCATATGGGGCGTTCCAAGCCTCCTGATGAAAGTTTTTGTGTATTTTATTCATAAGGGAGGAGCAATGTCCTCCATTGGTAGTCCGCCAATTTATTACCCAAAGAAGACACTGTGAAAATTTCAGAAAAATCGGTCCAGCCATTTAGCTGTCTATAATGTCCAAACAAACAAACATACATATACACCTTCATTTTTATATAAATAGATGGGGGATGCCCCCTATTGCTAGTCCTCCAATTTTTCCACCAAATTATCATATGGATGTCAAAATTGTCCATAACAAATTTGAGGACTCTAGTTGTATCATGTTCCGAGATATTGGACTTTTGAAGAAGTGGGCGTGGCACCCCTCCCAGTTGCAATTTAAAAATAAAAAGCCTATAGTTCCTTCCAGATATAGGGGAACATACACTGAAAATTTCAAGAAGATCTCTTTAGTGGTTTAGCCTCCTTTAATGTACAAACAAACAAACAAACATGCATTGATTTTTATATATATATGTATATAATAATTAATAAACGAATTTGTAAATTAAAACATCAACTTAAAATATATGTAAAATAAAATGAATTTTTAAATTATAGCGGTATTCATAAAACCTAATCATTAGTTAGTCAATTAATAGCTAACTTATAGTGCTCTTTTATTTACGCAGCAAAAGCTTACTTATCAGTAATGGTTAACTGAAAAGGATGTAAAGTAAGTGAGTACTGATTCGTTCCTATGACATTACATTGAAAAATTTAATAGATTTTAATAAGCAAAATGGTAAGTTTTTAAGTCACCTCTGACTCATTTGTGGTTAACCATTAGTTAGTTTTAGGTTAACTCAAAATCCGACTGGGTAAATTTTCAAAAATTGTATATGAGAAATTTCGTGTCAAGTGACCACCCAACTTTTAAAATCGATGTTAACTTTTAAAATCGATGTTATTAATACGCATCGATCGAGTGGTATTCCTACATGAAATTCTTAAAGAGGCTGTTCCTCGGGACACTCTAATGTTCATGAGCTGAGCCGTTTTTACAAATGGTATTTTTTAGGTTTTTTTCATATTATTTTCATATTATCATCCAAAATAACTTATATAATGAATAATATCATTCAAAAGCGCGTTCAGCGGAATAATAAACTTGTGATACATTTGTCACATTATTGAGATACGTATTTGATTTATTAGAGTTTTTTTTTACATTATGTTTTTAATTGCTAAGAGAATTACAGTGAAATCTGTTAATTTATTTATTTATTTGATTTATAATTCAATACAAAGATTTTATCTTATATAAAAGTATTGAATTAGTTGTTACATCTTAAACATGAACATTAAAATTTAAAAATAAAGAAGCATTCAACATATAAAAAAAACATATAGTAAGTATCTAACATATCGAACATGAAAAACATTAAGAAAGTTAAGTTAAATTAAAAAAAATTAAAAATATAAAATAAAAACACAAAAACAACCAATATTTAATCATTAAAAAAGGCAAAAATCTGAGTTTTAAATCGCGTTGCGTTGCTGATAGTTTGTAGTTGTAAGGGTAGTTGGTTCCAAATTCGAATGGTATTTATGAAAAAATGTTGATTTGATAACATACTTCTGTTTCTAGCTGTTTAAATAGAATCCATACAATAAAAATTAGGTAAATATTTTTGACATGGTTTAGAAAGTTTTTTTATAAATTTTTAAAAAGTTCGCGTTTTACTAAATATATACAATTTAACCAACATCGTGTCTTAAACTAGGCCAATATGGATATTAAAATTAAAACATGTCCTTGTTATGGTGCTATAAATATAATAAATGATTTTCCACTTATTTTATTTAAAATCTTAAATTGAAATCAAAATATAAAAAATATTAATAGCTTCAGTCTTAAAAATAATATAAATAGAGAACACACAAATTAGTTATCTATATTAATAACTAGCTATACCCAGTGTGATTCGCTACCCTAGAAACAATATCAATAAAAACCCCTTTACGATTTTTCATATTTACATTTTACGGAAAAACCCCATGCAATTTAGTCGGCAAACGGTGGCACTGATATTAATTTCATAGACAATTGTCTTGTTAACATTTCAAAGCCATAGTAAAAACATTAAAACTACGGTAGCTAAGGTTCTAGTGGAACCTGTTATAGAATTGATAAACATTTAATTCATATGGGAGGTTCATGTCCCTATTGTTAATCCGGTTATTTTCCGCAAATTTTTCATATGGATTTCAGTACTGCTGGTGTAAAATTTGAGCATTCAAGCTATAATGGTTTCCCAGATATAAGAATTTTTGTATTTAATTCATATGGGAGGGACCACGCTCCCGTTATCCGCCAATTTATTAGACAATTGTTAACACGAACGTCAAAATTGTTCGTGCAAAATTTTTTTATTTATTTAATTCTTATAGGAGGGATTACGTTCCCGTGATCCGCTAATTTATTAGGCAAATACTAACATGAATGTCAAAATTAGTTTTTGCAAAATTTGAGCATTCTAGCTCCAATAGTTTCCTCGATATACGAATTTTTGTATTTAATTTATATACCACGCTCCTTTTTCTAATCCGTCCATATTTCTCTTAAATATTCATATTGATATCAAAGTCGGTCGACGAAATTTGAGCACTCCAAATTTTATAGTTTTCCAGATATACGAATTTTGGAACAAACTTTATATAAGGGATGACACGCCCACTATTTCTTATCCGCCCATTATTGCACAAAAATTTTATATTGACACTAATGTTTACCGTACAAAATTTGGGAACTTTGGCTGTTATAGTTTTTCAAATATACGTCATTTGATATTGCCTAGCAATATAAGCGTAGGTGTGCCACCTACTAATGCTAGTTCGCCCATTTTTCTTCCAGTATTCATATATATATGTGTCAAAGTTGTTCGTGCCAAGAAATGCTATTTTTAATAGTTATTTAGTAAGTGGGTGTGGCACTTCGCCCACTTGGAATTTCAAAATAAAAAGTAACCTATTTTCCTTCCAGGCATACAGGAACTACTCTGAAAATTTCAAGAAAATTAGTTTAGCCGTTTAGGCGGCTATAGACTTCAAACAAACATACATACATTCATGCATACATACAAACAAACACACATTAATTTTTATATATATAGATATGGGGGAAAAATAATATGCTATTTACACCGAATCAAAAACAAGTTGGTTTTTGAAAAACCAATTCGGTTACACCAACAGCTTTTGATATTTTTCAACATATACGTTCACACATTAATTACCTATACTTACATGTCTGTTCTGTAAATCGATTCGGTTTCAAAACCGAGAAGTTTTTAAACCCGAATTTGGTGTTCTGCAAATCGAATTTTTATTTTAACGTAAAATTCAGAAAAATAATCATATTTTATATGAAAAAGAGTTTAAAATGCCCATAGCATTTATATCAAGTTACAATTATATTAAAAAAAAATAATAATTATTTAATTTATTTTAATAAAATTAAAATCGATTTACTTTTGACTAGATTTGTGTACGGTTTTAAAACGAGAAAAATTATGAGAATTCGTTTTTAAACGAGAAATTTATTCGAATTCGGTTTACAGAACAGACAGGATAGACAAAATTAAATTATCTTCGCTAAATGCATTTTTTAATTATTAATAGCCCATTTATACTACAACGAAATCTAGTACTTATGAGATTTCGATCCAAATCTTGTTGATTTTAACTAGATTTCAAATAAAAAACAAACTCTACTTCCTAATCTACGCTACACAAGAAAAATACAAAAAAATTTAAATATCGACAAAATTTTAATAAATTGGAAAACATGAATGAAAATTTAATTTAAATTGGAGGGTAATGTCATATTTAAATATCTATATATTTTTTATATTAAATGAAATTTTAATAAATATCCCATATTTCCTTCCAATTTTCCATATCAAACACAATTTGGAGAAATGTTAGAAAAAAAAAATCTTTCTAAACGTCAAAAAAATTAAATGTAAACGGTCTAGATTTCACGAAAGATTTCAAATGAAATCTACTAGATTTCAATGCAGTGGGTTATTAAACTATTTGAACATTATTTTTTAATTAAATAACAATTTTTATATTTGTTAACACAATTTGTATAATTTGAAATAAAATTATAATTTATTTATAATGTTAATTTTACCTGATATGTAAATAATTTCATCAGATTCTCAAATATTTTTAAAGTACTATTTGGAGTAGAACTGAATATTCCGTAATAAACATGATTGAATTCCAATTTATATTTCAATGATTCACTATCAAAATTAATGTTGGGTACATTGGATTTGCGAATTTGTCTCTATTCGAACTAATTTTCTGATATCAATTAAATTAGTAAAATATTTTCTGGGTGGCAAAAACATTTATTTGGGCCGAGAGGCGTTCATCGCAAATTCCACTGTCAACAGCCCTTACCATATCATGTAAATATTTTTGATCAGCTCTCAATTCCAAAGCCTCTACATTTGCTAACATTTCGCCCATTGCAATTGGTTCCAAATTTTCTACAACTTTTAAATAATTCAATTATTAAATCGACCGATATAAATAATTTAAGTAATTAATATATAATTTACCCGTATTCCGTCGCAACCTTGTAGTAAATGACCGATTACACCAGGCTAGTTGCTTAACTTAACATGTCTTTCAGTAACACAGTAAAAGATTATTCATTAAAATGAAGCAGACACACAAGCCACTGTAATGGTCGTTGCAGTTATCGCTCCAAACTGAAAATTTTTCCAATATGTTTTTCTGTTTTATTTCTAGTTCCACCATTTAACAAAAATTTTGCCATTTCGTTTTAGAAATTAGGATTTCTTAAGCATTTTTCTTCAGGTACTATATCCCATTTAAAAAGAGTTCGAATAAATTAATAATTGTTACATATTCTTCTGAAATATATACATATTTGCTCGATCTAAAGCAGCACTAAAAGTTGGCAATGAAATATTTCTTATACCCCATTCACACGGTGCAATTATTCGTAATTCACGCTCTCATTCATCATTCAACCCCCAATTACGTACTGAATGACATGATTTGCCATACAAAATTTCAGCTGCGAATTACACAAGCTATACGTAATTCAGTTTGAATTACGAATGAATGAGTGTCATCTCTAATTTTTATCGGGTATTTATCATAATCAGCTGTTTGTTTTCATTGGTTGGAGGCAAATAAAAAATAAAATTACAAAGAATGCAAATAAATAAAATACACAACTTAAAATATTGAAATAATGTAATTTACGTATTTTTGTATCATACACACACACAAATATTCCAAAAAATGACCAAATAATGATTGAAAAAAACAACATGGCGATGACAAAACGAATTACGAATGTGTCGTAGAAACGGGTTAATTGGCTATTGTCATTCAGGGGCCGAATTAAGTAATTCAACTGCTCCGTGTGAACCTGTTATTTCTTGTTCTGTTTCTAACGATGTCGAATGTTGGTCTGGAACATAGCCACTTTCATTATCAATCTCACTGAAAAGCTATACATATCAAGCAACTGTTAACGGCATATATCATTAGTACTCAAATTTCCGGAATTTATTTTATGTCATGACAGTTGCTTAGTGCATTAAATTCAAGCGTACATTGGGAGAACGAAATTGAGAAAAGTGTTTTTAGCAAAAATGACTAATTAATTCATATTTTACTCGTTTTTTTGTAGATATTTTTGTTTACATCACTTTTGCATGCAAAACGAAGACCAAAAATGCAAAATTTTTTTGAATAAATGGTTTGGGAAATTGTCAATAACTTTATTGTTTGTTCTTTAATATAAATGTTATGTTATATGATTTGGACGAAATATTAAAAAAAGTTAGTTTTAATGTCACAATTTTTAAGAAACCAAAACAGTTCTATTATTTACCCAATTTTACATTTTTCAATCGACTTCTGGCATGGGTTACCGTTTAACACCAGTAAGTTTGGAATACTAATTAAAATAAAATAAGACCCATCTGAGCCAAATCGATATTTTTTGGACATCTCTAATATACATATGTATGTTATTTTGAAAACGATCCAGCTCACGGACAGTAACCACTATGCCAAAACAGTGGCAATTATCATAAAGCAGACCAAGGTAAATTTTAAAATGGATAATAAAATCAAGTCTTCCATACAAACTGATTCGGTCTTATATACATATGTATGTATGCACTTACAATTGCTTCAATGGGCTATAAAAATATACATTTTTATATCACTTTCAAATTTCATATTTTTTTAATATTTTGCTTTTTAATAAATTTATCAAAAATACTTTATTTGCAGGGTTCTTATGGTCTCGTTAAATTGGCTTACTCAGAAGAAGATTCAACTCACTATGCCATGAAAATACTTTCAAAACGTCGTTTATTACGTCAAGCAGGTCTTATGAAACGAGGTCCAAAAAAAAGTACATCGCCCTTAGATCGAGTTTATCGAGAGATTGCCGTCTTAAAGAAATTAGACCACCCGAATGTGGTTAAACTTGTTGAAGTGCTTGATGATCCTGTAGAGGACTCTCTTTATATGGTCTTTGAACTTGTTAAACAAGGCGAAGTATTGAGTGTTCCCACAAAAAATCCACTAACTGAGGAAAGATCTTGGAGTGTTTTCCGTGATACCCTTTTGGGCTTAGAGTATCGTAAGTATAATTTTTCGTAAATTACAGAGGTAAATTTACCTTTATCGGCAAATTCTATAATATTCTCGACTATGTATTGTTCTCTAGTTCAAAAATTATATTTTTCTATTTACTTACATCGATTTGAGCTTCAAGTGCTAACTATAATGTGTATAAACTAGCTTAAAGTTGGAGGTCCACACTAAGCGTTTTCGCGACAAGCTTACATTTTTTGTTTAAATTATTTATTTTTTCACCATTAAAAACGTTTTAACTGGTGCTACCCAGTAAAATATTTTCAAATTTTGGTAATGAGTATTGTAGGTAATGTAGTTATTTCACACATTACTTGGTAATGAGTGGTCGTTATCAATAACAATAATTAATTTTTTGAAATAGGATTTGTAGCCAATTGTCTATAGCGTATGTCTAATAAGGAAATAGTTAGTGGTTCTAACACTAGTCGATATTAGACGTTTTTTAAAGAAATATTGATTTTTACATTTGTGAAGAAACCATTTCAGACAGAATGATAAAATATCTTCTTAATAGAGCACTGAGTAAGAGAATAAACTAATAAACATAGAAAATAATTGTAAAACCGGTTTTAAATCCGGAAAAGTGAGGTAAGCACATTTGTAACCAGTTATTTTTTAGTCATCGTCGAACAAAAATGAGTAGTTATTCACCCAAAAAGAAAGTACTTACACTTTGCTCCAATATTACTTGCCTACCTACCGGGTAAGTAAAGATTTTGCTGGGTAACTCCAGCTAAGGTTCCATTCAGCATTAATTTTGCGACATGTGGCTAAACCATATTTAATTGATGTTAAATTGAGTTGCAGAACCAACATTTTCTTTAATAAAGTTCAAAATTTTGTATAAATGTTTAAAGCCATCGCTTATTATAATACAATTTGCAAATTTGACCCGACTTTCTTCCAAATAATAAATATTAAAAGGATGAATTGTGGCTTAAGTGTTAATCTATTGGTACGACTATACTTCATCTTCAATTATAAAACTATAATTTTCTGAAAAGTCCAGGACTACCAAAATTTAAAGTTTTTTCTGGCAATATTAAAGTAAACATTTTATTTTACATTTAAACATTATTGTTTTAGGAGTTTGGACAATTTTTCAAGAAATATGTATGTATGAGTATAACAACGTTTTGTGACAAGTTCCGAACTGTAAGTTGCTGTCCGCATTTTATACTGAACATTTCCATATTAAACATATCAAAATAATTTTTAATTGTTTAATATCACGATATATAATATAACACGATGCCTGGAACTGCTATGATTAAGTCACGTACGGTAAAAATCTTTTTTTGACTAAAATATATACATATAAGAAATGTATTAAAATGTTTAAAAAATTTATGATTATTGTGCCAAGATACCTCAATTGTTAAATTAAATTAACGATACCTCAATTGTTAAATTAAGATAACTATAGAGAAGTCCAACTTTGGAGCGCCATAAAATGTGAACCATACTAATGAAATTAAATGCGACATGTTACATTGTTCCATTACGCTTTGTGTCATTTCGGCAATGCGTCGTTATCCTTTCGACAACGCAATGTTTTGTTTGACAACACAGCGTTGACACTTTGATAACACATCGTTTTTACGCCGAAGAGATACCCTATATAAATAAATATTATAAAAAAATGTAAAAATTTTTGTAGTAAGTCGCCACCAGACGTAGATCGAATCTGCGTTTATGATTTGACAATGTCATGTATTATTTATTATTTTTTTTGTTGATTTGATAACGTCGTGTATTTCATATATTTTTGTTGTTGATTTAACAACTATCTGTACATACTTTGACAACGGATTTATTAAAAATTATAAACACTTTGGTGTCAATTTGGTACCAAGCGTGTATAATTTTAAAATGTCTGTTTTCCCTCTGTATAGTGGCTAGTGATTTCGATGTTGTCCAACTGCTTTCAGCTTTAACACTGTTTTTATGTAAATACTACAATTAACAAAACAAATTACTTTTTCCACAATAATTACTTTTGGAACATCTCGAACAGAAGTAAATAAATACTTTTTCTAGTAGAATTGTAAATACTTTGTTTTGAATCGTTCTCATTGTATTTCTGATGATTTAGTAAGTAATGTTTTTGATGGGATGTTTTCGCTCAGTTGCATAAAATAGTGTATGCATATTATAATTAGTTAATAAGATTTTTAAATATTGTATTTAAATATGTATTTTTTAAATTGTAAACAAAGAAAAGACTTTTCAGAAGATATGAAGCTTTTAGTCCCAAGATATTAGTAGACTGAGAAACTGACTGATGGTTGTCAACGGATTAACGTTATTCAATCATGCTTATATTTATCTTAATATGCTTTTACGATCCAATGAACAGTTCATTGGAGCACTCAAATGTGCAAACATAAATACATACATGAGAATGAATTAATATACGTACATACATACCTAAACACAAAAAGATGAAGCAAACAATAACTGTTTTATTATTTTTAGTACACTACCAGCGAATCATTCATGCCGATATAAAGCCTGGAAATCTATTATTAACTGAGTGCGGTCGAGTTAAAATAGCCGATTTAGGTGTTTGCAATGAATTCATCGGAGAGGATGCTACAATGACTAATTGTTCAACAGCTGGAACACCAGCATTTAGGCCACCAGAATCTTTAAACGTTGGGCAGGTAAACATCAACAATGATTTATGTACAGATGAAAGTTATTAGCGTTAAAGATTTATCACAACGTTTTTGATATATATATTTGCTAGTTAAAGTGATTTCCGTGAGATAATTTTATAAAAGGGGTTATATCTAAATAAAGTGTTACATCTTATTTAGCATTATATATGTATATTAAAGAATATATAAAGAATTTTATTGAAAGAATTGCATGTAATAAATATAAAAAGTTACCATAAATTATAATTAATAATGGTTTCCTTATTTTAAATAATTCAAGCAATGACACTGAAGAAAGGTACTTTAGTGTAAGGTATATAAATACTTAAAAGTCGTAGTCCAAAAAGTAGTATGTTTTCATTTGAGGACAACCAACTTTTTAAGTAAGAAAGAAAGTAGTCACATATCGTCACCTTATTCTTTGAAAGTTATATATGTTTTTTTATAAGATAGTCTTAGAATCTAAATAGGACCCAGAATATATATGATGTGTAACAAATGGAATGACGTCACCAAGTTATCAAAATTTACTTTGAAAGTCAATCATCGATGTTTTATCGATTAATAAATTATGATATTGATCCGGGCGATGATGAGTCATCATGTTGAAACCACACCTCATCATTGATGACTCTACGTGTTATCAAAATATATTTGGCGATAACTCAATTTCGGGATAGACACGTGTTAGATACGTGCCAGAAAACCCCAAAAAAGTACCTTTGATACAGCTCAACAAATATTGTCGTCAGGAATAAATTTTGAAATATGATATCTGAGAATGAAGTAAATTTTAGTTTTCGGAGAAAATTAGGGGGCCATCCTAATGTATATATAGAAATTACAAAGTTAATTACAAGAAGATGAAGAGCATAAAAATAAATTTTAAGAAAAATCGATTTATTAGACAGCAACAAACCGCATTGTTTGATATTAGAAATAAATATTCACATTACCAAAATACATACATATATAAATATTTAATTATTTTTCATTTACAGAATATGTATTGTGGTAAAGCTGCTGATATATGGGCATTGGGGGCAACACTTTATGCATTAGTTTATGGCAACGTACCTTTTGAAGCACCGTCAGTTCCAGCTTTATATGAAAAAATTAAAAATGAAGAACTATCATTTCCAGAAAATCCAAAGACTTCAGTTGAACTAAGAGACTGCATTCAATGTATGTTAAAAAAGGATCCAGCAGATCGTATAACTTTGCCACAATTAAAGGTGAGTTAAAATAGGCTTTATGTTCTTAAATATAAACACATCATACTATATATTATTATGTTTATTTAAATTATGTAAATCTAGAATCTAAGTATAATCTAAGAATGATTTCTTCTTTTATTAAAAAAAAACTTTTTACTTAAACTAAATAAAGGAACACGTTTGGGTGACTGCTGGTGGCCTACATCCATTGCCCAGTGAGGAGGAAAACTGTCGATTAGTTCAAGTTAATGATGATGATATTAATTCCGTGGTACGCAGCATTCCCAAGTTAGATACTTTGATTTTAATCAAAACAATGCTAAAAAAACATTCCTTTGGTAATCCATTCTCACGTGGAATATCGGGTCGAGCCCCACAGCGTGGAGGTTCACGTTTAGAAAGATTTATACGCGCGGGACGTTCTAATTCAGCACCTGGATCCTATAATATGATTGTTGACAGGTATGTGGTTTTCAAAATAATTTTTAAAAGTCGAGCATGGCCGACCATATGATACCCTACACCAGTGGTTATGTTAAAATGTGGACTATTTTTTATAATAAAGCATCTTTTTACTTCAATATCGAAATATTTTTGATAAAAAACTATTTTCTGAAAGAAGCTTTATATGGGGCAAGGGTTAAATATGGGCATATCCTCATAAATTTTGGTAGATGAATTAACGTTTACAGTTTTTTATACAGAATTTATAAGTGAATTATTGACTTTCTAGTCATTTTCTGAAAAGGACTTTTTAAGGGGTGCATATTTTTGCAGAGATACTAGAACAGTTAACATACATAATTATGATCTGCAAAGCCCCATTCGGGGGTACTGTTGTATGGGGACTAGGTGAAATAATGACCGATTTATACCATTTTCGTGGGTCAAGAAAAGAGTATGTGCCAAATTTCAGGAAAATTCAGGCAATACTTTATAATCCACTCATTGTGAGTAGTAAATAGTGTCAATATAAAAATTATCAATATTTAATCGAAATAATTAAAGAATTACGTGTATATAATGCCATATAAATTTTATATTCATATGTATCTCAAAAATGACTAACGCAATCTTATATATTTTCAGGCAACTTTCTGGTGATAATATACTTCCAGCTCTTTCTGAGCATTCTCCTTCAAATTGCACAAATGAAGAATCCCAATAAAAGCAAAACAGTAACTTATTATATTAATAGAAACACAAATTAAAGTTATTTATAAATATAAAATATTATAATTATAGAAAATGCACAATTCTAAATAAAAATACAAAACAATTGCTTTTCTCGAATAATTAATATAAATAAGTACGTAACAGTAGCATTATATATTACAACAAACACTATCAGATATAGTATGTATTATATTTAGTCGAAATTATGCAATAGATCCTTAATATTTTAAATCAATTGTCCAATTCACAATCGGTATCGATGTAGGTACATACATACACATGTATGTATGTTGCACAAATTTTAAATAGTTTTGTTTTATATTTAGTTATTTTAATATAAAGCGATACGACATAGATTGTAAATTGGACAAATATGTATGGGCCTTTTACAATCCAAATACTTTTTATTTATATCCTTAATATCTGAACACTTATTTAGGTCCATTTAAGGAAACTTTTGAACAAATATGTATCTTGACTTGCTTTAAAAAAACATTTAGAATTTCAGCAGCTTTAACCAAGCTTAGCAACATTACAATTTGAAAATCGGGAACATTTTTTTTAGAAAATCATGTAATAATAACCCGATGGCAAGTAAATGTTCTTTAATTAAGAATCACCTTTCAATTTCTCGGTACTCACGGAACCACGACGGAGAGATTGATTGTTGTTTTCTAACAAAATAGTCTCTAGCTGGATGGCTCATTTCGGCCAAAAGTAACCGCTCTTTAGTTTAATCTAACAGCAAGTTAAGCCACGTTTAACTGAGTAGTAAGAAACCCGCCCTAAGTTATACTACAAAGAAATTAAAAATCGTGTTACATCCATCAAATATTTGGGAAAAAAGACAAAACCACTATTTTTTGTAAATGTTGTTTTTTTTGATCTTATATAATTTTTGTAATTGCAACTAATGTCAAAGAAATAATTAAGCAGTTCTAAACATATGTATATTTAAAGGAAATCAAAATATCTATTTTTACCGGTAACGTCTTTTCATAAAATATTTGATAGGTGTGAACGTAGCTTAACAGTGTATTTAGATAAAATTTCAAATGAAAAAACTATCAGAGTCAAAGAATATTAAACTCTAAATGTATTTATGAACAATGAATCTGGTTTCAAAAAATGCCGTTCAAAAGAACATTTACAAGTTTTTATTTCTAAGAAAGGATGTCAAATTTAATCAAATTATTAACGAACAAGGTTCGACCCATTATCGTACATTTTTTTATATAGTCTTTAGTATAGATTACGAAAATTATTTTTGGGACCATTTGAAACAACAAAAAAAAAACAAGAATTACCTTAATCTTACATTGATACATTTAGAAAAAAGATAATTAATTAATATATATAAATAAAAATATAATTTTTATGTAAGAAATTTATTGCATGCATTCAATTTACATGTCATACATACATGGATCATTTCATAAATTTATTTTAAATCAAATCAAATTTATTATTAATTAAAATAAAATAAAAAATTATAAATATAACAAAGCATCTCAAAAGCGAACATAATTTTAATAAACATTTAGCTTAAAATATTATTAATTATAATGAGTAAAACCAACAAAAATATTTTAAAAATATTTATATTAAACATACTGTAAGTATGTATGTATACATACTACATACATTTGGATTAATAAAATATATGTATGTATGAACACAATTGCTACATTGAAAATACATAAGTACATACATACATACATACATATATACATACATAATATGTATGTATGTTAATTAGAGTGGCCCGAGGAACAACCTTTTTAAGAATCTCATTTATGAACACCACTCAATCGATAAAAAAAATAATTTTTCGAAACGGTCCTCAGTTTCCTACCAGCGCACATGCCACAAAAGTCAAAATAAAAATATTCAATATTATTTTTACATATAAGAGATCTAAGACTTCCAGCAGCATTGAAATATCGGAAAAAATCCGATGAATTGTTCGCCCATAGAGAAATTTAACTTTTTTTTAAAAGTTCCAATTTCAAAATTAAATTTTTCTAGTTACTAATATAGGTCAAATAATATTATGTGTACAAAAGCAATTAACTTATATTTGGAATTAGAAATTTACACGAATTAAAGTTGCATATAAAGTGTATTAAACAAGGATTAAAAATTATTGAATTTGTATGCAAAATATTTTTATCAAGTGATACTTTTTTATATTTTTATGACGCAACTAATATATACTTAATTTTTAATGCAACGCATCTTTTGAAATTGGTCCGTTGTGGTCGTCGGCCAATATAAGGAACATCCGGTCATATCTGTAGTATGAATTTCTAAAGCTAACTTTTGCGGCCATTTGCGATCCCGAAAATTTTAAAAGGGGACATTTTCAGCCTTTATTGGTCAAATATTTAAAGATATTTTAAATCTATTGCACATACCTGACATAAACTTAGTTATAACCCTACAAAAAATGTGAGCGGTAATATCATTGCCACTCCCACCTTATTTGCTGGTTTTTATTTATGTTCGATCACTGTTTAAAGCAAAGGTTTACTAAAATCAGCATTTAACTTAACAAATATAATAAAAAATATACTATAATGTTAAAAATAATCTACTATTATTATTAAAATTTTAAATATTTGTATACATTAAACGGTTTTACTAAATAATTAACAAAATATTAGCGAAATGTCACGGAATTTTTTAACCCAATTTCAAAAAGATTGCAGAATTTTTTTTTTTTAATATTGTACTGAGATCCAGAATTTCAATCGCTGGTATGAAACTGAGGCCCTTTTTTATAGTATATTTCTCGTATTTAGTACATTAATACGCATCGTATGAGAGGTGTTTCTACAAAAAATGGTCCACGGGACACCCTAATGTACATTTACTTATTTACATTAGACCTGTTAACTGACTTACTTACCTCCTAGACATGAAGTTTGATTTAGTATCAGATATCAGATGGTTTTTACCAAACTAAAAAATATACTCCTTTAAAATAAAAAGCCCAACAAAAAAATAGAAGAAATTAAAAAAATAAATAAATAAATAAGTTCTATCCTTTTTATTCATAAACAACGTTTTATTTTATAAAAGGAAATCTTCGTACAAAATTTGATTTATAAACCGATTATAAAATAAAAAATTGTAAATGAATAAGGCCTTTAAAATATAGCAAAGATACATATTTACACATACATATGTAGAATATTTCCTAAAATAAATCAAACTTCATTTCTGTAGGAGAACTGAAAAATGATTTTAATTTGGAAGTTAAGGTTAGCCACTCAAGGTATACATACATACATACATATTCTTAAATAATTAGCTTTTAACACATAAATTAACAACGAATTATTCCGTATAACTTATAAAAAAATAATTAGCTTGAATTCTACGCAAATTGTAAACTTTTAATATCAATTTAAATAATATGAAACAATTAATAAAATATTCCAAATAATCGCATGGATCCTTATTGCTTAGAGAAATGAAATGTATTCGAAAATATTGTATGTGAAATGAAATACACAAATGTGCTTAGCAATGAAATTGTGAATAAATGTTACCAAATTTATAATTAATTTTACATAATTAAAGAACAAAATATACTTCCTTTTTCTCTCTATTTTTATCAAATAAAAATTGTTAATAAATAAATTTATTAAATAATCAGAATAAATGCTATTAAAAATGTAGTTTTACTAATAACCAAGACAAACCAGAATATGCTCTAAAAATTAAAGTTTTATTGATTTTTTAACATTGAAAAGTTCGAAAACCCAGAAAATTACACTCTGAAATAATCAATATTTTATGGCCTTTTTTCAAAAAATTAAATTTTGAATAAAAAAATATAGATTTTTTAAATATTTTAAGAAGAACAAGTAAGGGTTCTATATTCGGATGTGTCGAATCTTATATACCTTTCACCATAGTGTTTTTTTATACACTTCACCTTCATGGTACTTTTTTGTTCTTTAAGTGGTACATTTTGAGTTTTCTATATTATTGAAACTAAAACATGAAATTAACCATAAGAGCTTGGAGTAAAAGAACATTGGTACTTTTTCGTTCTTCAACAGTACTTTTTCAATTTTCTATAATATTGAATCTAGCAACTGAAAAAATGAAAATTTTTAGGAAAGGATTTTTGGTACTTTTTCGTTTTTTTAACTGGCACTGGCTTTTATGCAATATTGAAACTAGGAACATATAATCAGACATACCTATAGGAATTAAAGATTTTCATCTTTTTTGGTACATTTATTTTTATTTTGGGAAAAAAACTTTTTACATGTTGCAACTTTGCGTCTTACTTTTTACAAGGACAAGATAACTGTTGAGAACTTTATTTTGTTTTATTTAGAATTTTGTCAGAAAAATAGGGGATATTTTTAAAAAATTTTACGGCATAAGCAATTAGTATTACCTGTAATTAAAAGTAGAAATTTATTAATTAAAAGTAATTGGCAGAACTCCAATAACAATTACAAGTCGTAAAATTTTACATAAATATATCCTTACAATACACACCTAATTTTGGCGTTAAGCTAAGAGAAAGCTTTTATTTGTTACTAACCCTGCAAAAACATGTACTTACTCAACAGCTTACTTTTCAATGACTACTACATACTGTCTGCGTTACTTAGAATGAGTCTAGTAAAAACTTACAAATAATATATTATGTAAGTACTTACTTTTCAGCCTTGACATATTGTTTTCGAACTTTGTTTTTTACACAAACTAAAAAAATATATTTTTTGTGAAAATTAATAATAGACGCAATGGGCGTATCTTATTAGTAGCCAATTTTTTTCTCAGATACAAAACTTCTTACTTTACTCCCTATTTGCATGTGATTGTAGTAAGTACTTACCTAATTGCCTATTTTTAAGCGAGCTTGGTAAGTACCTCCAATATCATCCCCTGTTAATATGACTTAAAATGCTATTGTGTAAAGTAAGTAAATTTCCGCATTTTAAGATTGAAAACTCTGATATTCGTATGAATAATTGTAAAAAGTGGGTAGTGGAACCTCCTATATTAAGTAAATATTAAATTTCGTATATTTGGGAAAATATAACGACAAGAAACCTTCAGTTTTTGTACGAATAACTTTACTGCCTATACAAATATTTAGAAAAAACTGGGAGAACCAGAATAATGGGTGTTGCACCTCCCACATAAAGAAAAAAAATTTTTGTATAAATGGATAATTATAATAAATAGAATTTTGAAATGAATAACATTAATATCCATTGAACTATTAAGGGTCAAAATGGACAGACCAACAGTAGTGGGCGTGGCCTCCCATAATATTGAAATAAAAAAAATATATCAGAAACTACTACAGATTAGCGATGCACAGTGGGGCAGAATGGAAATTTTTTGGAAATAAATCTGGCATTTCTAAACGGCTGATCCGATCGGGATAAAATTTGGCGTGAGCGTAGCCAAGGAGTATTCGAGTTTAAGTTTTGAAGATGAACCCTGCAGATGCCCCAGGGACGGCGCTGTGACGGCTCAAAGTAGGGTACCTACGACATGTAAAATTTTTAAACTCGTGCCATTTTTTTGTTTTTCACCCAAATACAAAGATTTTTATATTGTGTGAAAGCGCTCGACGAGATCTTGAAAAAGCCTGGACATACTACTTATCTCTTATAATATCCGAGTTATAGGCATTTAAAAATTTAGTGATACAAAATTTACCATACCTTGGTCCGCCTTTTTTTGAATACCGGGCGTAATTTTGGATTTTTTCTTGTTAGTTAGACAACAAAATTTCCAATAATATACAAAAAATTTCAGATCAATATCATTTACAGATCCAAAAATATACGTTTTTTAATTTAAAAATTCAAAAAATTTTAGATTTTTGCCGTTTTTTTGCCAAAAATGTGTCTTAACTCTTTTATTAATAAAATAAAATTTTCTTTAAGAACATATAACAATTTTATAGTTTTCTAAAAGGTATCTTTACGCAGAACGCTTTGGCGTAAAAAACTTGTCCTATTTTTTGAAAATGTTGCCACTGCGTCCTTCCGAATATGACCTATTTTTTATCAAAACTTCAACTTTGGGCGACATGTTCTAAAATCCCAAAGCTGGGATCAGAAAACTGAAAGCAGTTTTGGAAACCTCAATATGTTTTCTATTTACTCCAAAAGTATTTTCCCAGCCCTGAAAGAAATGTGGACCCTATGGGCAAAAAAGTAAAAAATCCCATTTTTGGGATTTTCATTCCTACTTTTGGGAATTGCGGGATGCCCTTTGACCTTTTCAATTTTTTTTTTCTTTTTGCATTTTCTTATTTGAAATGACAAATTTAACAAGCGTTGAAAATTTCATTGAGTTTTGTTCATAAATAAAGATTTTGTCATATATTACATATTTGTTTAATTTCTAAAACTATGATTTATATCAAAATTTTAATAGGGTCGCAGATAGCTACAACAATTTAGTCCATATTTATCATTTAATATCATTTTTTAGTTAGATATAGAAATTCTCGACCCTTTACAAAAAATTGCAAGCCAAAATCTCAACTACATTCAAAAATATGTTCATTTAAACCTGTGTCCTTTAATTTAATTTTTTTCATATTTTAGTATTAAGTATGACATAACATACATTTGGTGTTGAATAAAATATTTGGACAATTTTTAAAAATTATTTAGTTAATTATTTTATTAAAGACTATAACATTGTATATACAATAAAAAAATTATAATTTAATTATGAGCCACGCACAACAACACCTAAATCACCCCACACAAACCACCTTTCCCGCCCACCGAAACATAAAACACAATTTAATACAATATCATCAGTTAGTATAATAGCTATTTTTATTTGAACTGTTTATCTTAAACATAATACAATTAATTCTTACAACCTACTTATATAGTTAATTCCTAACACTACTTATTTTCTATAAAATAATCTGTCATATCGGTATACATATCCAGAAGGTAATATAAGTCCTTTAAATCTTCCTTGTTTTGAGATGATAGAGTTTCACAACAAATCCATCATTTTCGCATAGTTGAAAGAACAGGATCAGAAGATAGAAGTAAACTATTAAAAATATCTTCATTCTGTGATTGCCTGGAGCATTTTCTTGAGCTGAATAGTTGAACATGCTTAAAATCTCGATTCCTCGCTTCCTGGGCTTCTTCTGTTAACTCTCCAAGTGGAAGAATATTCGATTCAATTATTATTTGACCATGACAATACTTTGTGTACTGTTGGTGTTAGTTCCCTCCATGGATACAGAGATACAAGTAATTTAGAAATTTCAGATGTATATTCCCCAAATCGATTTCCATTAATTTTATGTTTACTATTCAGTGCCATTAAAATAGTGTTAACTCTTCGAAGCAACTCCTTGTCGATTCCAGTTATTTTTGAAGTAATTTCAAAATCACGAAAAAACCTTCTCGCCGTATTACCGTCATTTGTACTACCGCAACTTGGAAGTGGTTTGTCGATGTTTAATCCCATCTGAACTTTAAATTCTTCTTGGATTCTGCTTTTTTCCGCAGCTCTCAGTTCTTTCAATTCTTCATTATTTTTTGTTGATTTAGTAAGATTCTCTGGCACACTTCTATATTTGAGGTCGTATGCTATGTGTAAAAAGTAATCCAAAAATCGTATTCTGGCATGAAGTGGTGAAATTCCGAAAGACAGGACTTCTTCATTAATACTTCTGCTTTTGTTTATATTTGAGAATTGCGACTTTTTCTCATTACATATTGAGCATCTCCAGAAGGAAGAAGTTTCTGTTATGGCATTGCTGACCTTTCCATCATTGTTAAGCTTAGCTGATATGATACGTTAATAAAGAATTCCTTTATTTTTATGCAAATGGGCTCCAGTGCATTTATTTCATCTTTAAATATTCCACTATATCTTTTGTTGTTTTCTTTGACTCCTTTATATATTCAAATCCAATGGGTCTACAAAAATTTTTTGAACCCGGAGTTGTATTGATCCATATATCTTCAAATGAATTTCCGATGCTTGACGATGATGGATTAAGGGAATATGAACGAATTCGTAATGGCACT